TTATAATTATATTGTATAATTAAATAAAGATATATATAATATTATAAATAAATTTTTAAATAAAAAATTATAATAGCACATCATGGCTATTAATTTACAATGTTACTAAACATTGTAATTATATTATTTTACATTTTTATTATTATCTTTCACATGTTTTGTGGTAAGGACAATAATATATACACCCTCATCCGTTACTTTTTGTTAACACCAAATGCATCCAACCTATCCCTTTCTTTTTCTCTCTCCTTTCTTTTCTCCTTCTAGTTGTTCACCGTTCTCACTATATCCATCTTCCTCCTCGCCCTCATCCTCATCCTAATTATTTACAGCCTCATCTTCCTCTTCTTCATCATCGTTAGCTTCACTAGCATAGAGCATGAAGCTGAGCAAGTGGGAACTTGCAAAGGAACCCAAATCTGGTGTTGGGGAAGGGGAGAGAAAATGAAAAGATTTAGAGGTTGAAGATAAGGATTTAGGAACCTAGTAACCTAAACCCAACAGGCGCTGCTTAGTTTTTTTTTATTGATCCAACGACAACCCAGCAAAAGAGAGAAATTAGAAGGGAAAATGTCCAAATTTGGTGTTGATGGAGGATAGAGAGAGAAAGAAAATGAAAATATGAAATTGCAGGTTTCATTGGGGGGAATTGCAGGTTTTGTCTGCACTACTTGTAGTCTCTGTCTCAGAATATCCTACTGCACTATCTAACTGGTTGGGTTAGGTGCGTTTGGGAGTTAACGAAAAATAACAAAAAATGAATGTGTCTAACAGAATGTATAACGAATAAAGGTGTATGTAGCATTTCCCCTATGACAATTTGAATTTTTTTATACATTCCTTAAAGAAAAAAAAAACAATTTGTAATTTAAAACTAAGATTTAGTTAGAAAGTTAGGCACTACTAATATAGAAAGTCTTTTTTAAAATTATGGCGAAAAAAGTTAGGTTAAATCCACCAGCCATCTCGTAATTTTTTTTTTACAGGTCAGGTATTTTTGGACGGTTTTTAAATTATTTGAGATTAATTTCTTGTCAAATTATTTTTTTTTGTTTATTTTAGACTACACAATAAAAAGTAATTTTTTCACGTCTCTTATACCCATTATACCTATATAAAAAATTACTACTAAACTACTTATATCTTGTTAAATTATCTTAAGTTGTATACCTTTGTTTAATTTTAATAGTTCTAATTTAATTTTTTTAACTATTTAAATATAAATTTAAGATAAAAATTTAATATATTATATAAATATTAATTAAATTTTTTTAACCAAATAAAACACTCAACAAGAATTTTATATTAATTTTTTTATTTTATTTTTCATATAAATAATTAAATTTGAATTTGAATTTAACATTTTAAAAAAATTAAAAAGTCAAATCCAAACTAAGGGAATATTTATTTTAAAAGTTTACAAATAATTATCAATTATTAGTTTTAATTAAAAAATTAAATATTTTAAATTATAAACCATAATAATTATTAATCATTAAATTTCAACTATCAATTATATATAAACCATAACAATTATTAATCAATCATTAAATATTTCAACCCTTACAAAAATTGAAGGAGTCCGCAAGTAGTGAATCAAACTCTACATTCACAAGCTATTTGATAATGATAATAAACATCAACCTAATGGATTCGCCAACAAAGGGAGACTCCAACGGCAAAAACTGAACGCGTTTTGGATATTTTCAAAAGGACTAGTCTCCCCCTCTCTCCCTTTTCATCTTCTCAATCCTTCAACCCGCATTCCCACATCAAAGGAGCTACGGCGGAGATATGGGGGCGTACAGGGCGGACGAAGACTACGATTACTTGTTCAAGGTTGTCCTCATCGGGGACTCTGGTGTCGGCAAATCCAACCTCCTTTCTAGGTTTACCCGCAACGAGTTTAGCCTCGAATCCAAGTCCACCATCGGTGTCGAGTTCGCCACTCGCAGCATTCGGGTTGATGATAAAGTTGTCAAGGCCCAGATTTGGGACACTGCTGGCCAAGAAAGGTATTTGCTTTGTTTTCTGTTTGTAGATTTTGATCTGGGGTTCTTCAATTTTGCATTATTCATGAGTTTGGGGATCGTTCTGTTTTGTTATGTGGGGATCTCGGTGAATGAAAATTGAAATGCTGATTATGTTTTTGGATATTGGAATTGAATTTCTTTTGACACAGTGATGAATATTAGAATCTAATTCAATTGCTTGCTTAGTCATTAACTCCTCTGCTGAAATCTGTTTGAAAGTAGATGTATTTCTTCTGAATAACACATGTAGTAGCTAGCTGCTATTCTTGTAACAGCTCTTGATGTTAATCTAAGTGAACCTCAATAGGAAAGTAGATGTCTGCAATGCTGGTTGGGATCGCAGCTCCCTAGAATTAATACTCATACCTTGCTAAATTCTCCTTTTGACTATATTCTTATCCCAATTTCTAAAATGAGAATTCAAATTGTTGTAGAAAGTTACCTTAAGAAACTGTTTTCCTTGTAACTGTTTGATTTTTACTTGGATTCCAATAAGATGCAGTTTCTGTAAGGAGATTACAAAGTAGTAGTTGTTTCAACTTCTTGCTGATAAAAAAAGAATAGTTGCGTCTACTTCTGGTAAGTCAAAAAAAAAAAAAAAAACGGGGAAAGATGGTATTGGATTATAGTTGAACACTGAGGCTAATGTCACCTGGCAGCCAATTGACCTTTTGTTGGGAACTTCTTTTGAATGGATGCTACAATTTTAGCCCGTAATTCCAAGGTTCAAACTTGAATTGTTATAGAATTCCCTGTTTATAATGTGCTGATGGATGGTTGAACAAATTAGCAGATGCTATTTTAACTAGCTTGACAACTAGGTACTTTTCATTAACACAAAAGGGAAGTGAATGAGGCAATTATCTAAAAGGGTGAATTCTGTTTCCTTAGTACCATGAGTTTATGATTTAGATCATTGTTGCCATTAATTTCATCACGACTCATTTCTCCTTTTCTTCTGCAACAAAGAAAAGAGTGTCTCCATTAACTACTTGTTCTCTTCATTATTATTCTAAGAGCACCAAAGACCTTTAAAGTGGAAAAATAAACAATGGAAAGCTTTTGAATGCCTTTTAGTTTGGTACAATTGAGGTCCCTTTTCGGTGTAACCCTTTTCGAATTTCTTGAAATTGTGCTGGAACTGAAGTGAGACATGAAGCTTTAAGAGTGTTAACCTAATTTCATTTTCTTCCTTTCATTGCCAAAGGTACCGTGCTATTACCAGTGCTTACTATCGAGGTGCTGTCGGGGCTTTACTAGTCTATGATGTCACACGTCATGTTACATTTGAAAATGTAGAGAGATGGTTGAAGGAGCTTCGGGATCATACCGACACTAACATCGTGATCATGCTAGTTGGGAACAAAGCAGACCTGCGTCACCTGCGTGCAGTTTCCACTGAAGATGCTAAAGCTTTTGCTGAACGAGAGAACACCTTTTTCATGGAAACATCTGCACTGGAGTCCCTGAATGTTGAAAATGCCTTTACAGAAGTGCTGACTCAGATTTATCATGTTGTGAGCAGAAAGGCTCTTGATATCGGAGATGACCCAGCAGCATTGCCCAAAGGGCAGACAATCAATGTTGGATCAAAAGATGATGTATCAGCTGTGAAGCAAACTGGATGCTGCTCGAGTTGAGCGTGGAGTTGAGGTCTTAGAGAGTTTTATAGACATTCTATGCCCTGTTCATATTCATATTCAATGTAGAGGTTACCCTGCCCTCACAAGAATGCAAATGACAATAACTCATTTAACACATTGTGCTTGAAAGAACCTTGTTTAGGATCTAAGAGATATGTAGTAGTTTGTAATTATTTTTCCTTCACTCCAGTAGTTATTGCATTTGTTTATTCCGAGTGAATTGCTTCAAGTACTAATCAAGTAATTTCATATGAAGTTTGACTGTTCAGAGGGATGATTGTATATATCGGCTTTGTTAGAACTCTAAGGAGAGCTGGAAGCGAAGGGAAGGGATGAATTTTTTTTACTATTTAGATTGCATTATTTTTTAATATTATAACTTCATTGGCTAACAAAATCATTAGTTATAAATTCATTGGCTAAAAAAATCAATACTCCCCTCCCCTTTGTTTCTTTCAAACCAAAAGTGTCACCAAGACACCAACCAAGAAGTCAATGCATGGATGGTTGTCATTCTTGATGTTGAATAAAATTTGGAAGATGGAAAGCAAGTTAAAATGAAACCTTAACTTTGAATTTTTATATTTTTTTTATTATCCTAAAAATTTATAAAATATTAATTAAAATAAATATTAAATATATTTTATATATTTTTAAGATGTTAAAAGATCCAAAAACCAACAATTACATGCCAACACTCCCAAACAAAGCCACCGTATGAGACTGAGGAGCATTTGGGTTTTGGTTTTCTACGTTAGCAGACTGTTTAGAAGAAGCATAAGAAGCAACCCGAATGGCAGAGGGCTTGCTTCAAAATTGAGGATGTCTCCGCATGTACCAATAACAATAACAATAATGATTTCTTGGTAAACCAATTATTTTACAACTATCCATAGAGAAATACAAATCTAGTCTACTTGACAGGAGGAAATCATCTGTTGCACTTCCCAGAGACACAACAAGCTGGTCAAATTAGGCTTCATGGAGCCAAAAATAAAATAAAATAAGATAATTGTTTTTGCTTGGACAAATCACAATTACCAACACATGATGTAATCTTTGGATAAAAGCATCTACTTAACAAATTGGAGAGAGCATGTATTTCTTCCAGTACTAAGGAAAGCACTTGCTTCACATGGTACTATGGCACACTTGGCGCAGATATTACTTGCGAGCTTCAGCCTTCTTCAGCTCCTTGGCTGGAAACATTGAAGAATGTTTAATCAATTGCAATGAGTAATGTTGGAAAAAAGTGATAAGTTATGTTGTGGTGGGTTTAGCAAATACCAGCTTTTTCTTCTTCTCGCTTTTTAGCAGCTTCTTCCCTCTGTTGACGTATAAGAGCCAAGCGTTCTGCATGTGGAATAAAATGCTTACCAGTTAGAGAAGAAAAATGTTACTACAGGCTGGATAGCAAAGAAGCATGAACTCAAAATCAGGAATTTATGCAGCAAAACTTATTTCTTCGACAATTCACAGATGTACAGACAATGAAGTATCCCTGTGCTAGACCATTTTCATTTACCTGAATGAAAGAAGTGAGTCATATAACACAAATAAAATAGAAATGACATAGAAGATGTAAAAACCTACCCAAATCTTTCCTTGCTTGTTCGGTTTTCCCTTGCTCTTGGAGCCTCATATATCGTTCATGGGCTCTTTGCTTCTCTAATTCCTCCCTGCATACAATATAGATGAAAATCTAAGACAAACTTCCTCAAAGGAACAGATTAAAAAGAAATGGATATATACAAACCTCTCACGCCTTGAAAGTTCAGTAGATTTCTCAGTCTGCAATGGAGAGAACAAAATCATGAGATATAAATAAAACCTTTAAATTTAATCATCATAGTAATGAAACAGGATGCAGGGTTTGCCCTCTTGGAACTCACATCAACATCTTTAGCTTTTAAGTTCTTCTGCTTTGCCAGATTGGGATTCTCTATCTCAATAAGACCTTGCGTTCCCTTCCGCTTCTGAAATTATCAAGAAAGGATTCCATATTGATCAGTCACTTCTATACAAGAATCCATCACTAGGGAAAAAATAAATAAATCTACAAAGACTAGTTAAAGACTTATAGTTTACTAACTTCAGCCTGATCATCATCAGATTCTTCTCCAGATTCCTGCCCAGATTCTTCTTCAGATTCTTCCTCTTCATATTGAGCTTCTACCTAAAAACAAAAAGCATAGATTTCTTATAAGCACAATACATGTACGTCCCAACAATTGTCTGCATCAGTCCATGCATGAGAAAGAGACAGAGACAAAGACAAGTACCCTCTTAAAAGTACGAGGACGGGAAGAGGTGCCAGCAACTGTACTCACAAAAATGAGAAACAAAAGAAAGGATTAATTTTAGGCAGTGCCCAAAATGATTTAAGCAGAAACAGAGAAAATCTCAATTTAGAGTGCTTTTCTAATTTTAACAAATATACATATAGTTTGCTCTTCTGTTCTTTATAGTATAGTGGAATCCAATCCACTTACTACAAAAGCAAAGGTCTAAAGGCATCTATATCTATGAATATACTAGTGCCATTACAAGTACAACTGCAGAGGTTCTTAGTGGAGTTAGAACTGTAGGAGAGAATATGTGAGGGACATGAATTTAAACTAGAATGGTTATTTTAGTTATTTGACCCTTGCATCTAAACAAAACTCTTAAAATAGGCTAGCTCTTGCATCTTAGTTAAAACAGGGTGCCCAAAACGTATTTCTACTGAAGTTTCATTGTTACGACCAATTTTTTTTTTTTTTTTCATAAAGTTCAAGTCTTTACCAAAAATCAAAATTCAGCTATTCCCATAAATATTAAGAACAAGATTTCCCAGTTTGCACATTTTTATTATAGAATCAATAATATAACATCTAAATTTACTTAAATCCCGAATATCCAATAAATCATGCGGCAGGCAGTTCAGGTAGATTCGAATTCAAGAAATTAAGAATAATAATAGAAATTTAACACATGGCACTATGAAATTTTCGTTCTCTGGAATTTTCACAGCATCCAAATGGAAAGCAAGGGAAAAAGAAAGAACGAAGACTTACTCATCTCTTCTGGAGTAGAGAAACGGCGTTGACCGGTGGGCTTCCCCTTGAACTTCCCTCTTCCCATTGTTTCGGAAAATTGAAGGAAGAGATGATGGGTATGGATATCGGATTAAAAAGGAGGTTCCTTTCTCCTGGAGATAATGTTCTCCGGCGAGGGAGGAAAACAAAGCTCCGAGCTTTTCCACTTGCGAAAAACCCTAGTCAAATCGCCGATGACGTGTGTGGGGTAGGGACCTTTTGGGTGTACGTACACCTAGGGGGGTGGAATCGTGCCTCCACGTGGCAGAGTGCTCATCCTTTTTAAAATATCTTAGTTTACGTCATTAATATGCTTTGAAAATGAAAAAGGGGTTTTAAAAATTTTTATACTCACGAAATGATTAAGTTACAAGAAAAAACCCTTAAGAAAATGAAATTCAAAAAAGTCATTAAGATGACAAATAAAATGAAAAAATTTAATAAATTAAGGATAATAGTATAGAGAAAATTTATTTGTAAAATTTTTATTTATAATTTTGATATATTATTAAATAAATATATATACAATGAAACTTGATTTTGTGAGTCAAATAACTTTAACTATTCATGTAAGATTCATGTTCCCTCCCAAAACAACAATTCGAGTTGGTCCGACTAAAATGTTTAAATATATATATATAATGAAATTATTATAATATATTTTAGTTTATGCAAACTACGTTACTCTAAATTAATGATGAGAGTTAAACCCTTAAATTAGGAAACTCGTTTTCCAATCGATGATTATAAGAAATGCAATTTTATAGGGTAGATTGGTTCTTCAATTTTTGGATATATAATATTGAGGGATATATCCATATATAAATTTTATATATCATACTTAATTTCAATCATTCATTTCTTTACTCTCAATTATTGATATTTATCACAATTTTTTAAGTGAAAAATATAATTATATTTAATAAATGTGAATAAATCTTGATAATTGAGAATAAATCTTGATAATTGAAAATAAAAAAAAATTATTAAAATTTTATGTAAATGTAATACATAAAACTTATATATAAACAAATCTCTACTTTATAACATTACATGTTTCAATAAAATGAAAATAATCAATTATTCATTGATATATTAGGTTATACGGTTAAAATTATCCCTTAATCAACTTCCATGAAATAAAGCTTGCTTAAAGTTTGCCTTCCTTTGCTACTTGCTAAAGAGGAATACCATTTTTTTTTTTTTTTGTTTTGGCATATGAGGAACGAGGAATTCATTTTTTTGCATTTAATAATACCTTAAATTTACCAACAAAAATTTAGTTGATTAGTACCTACTAACTTACAAATTTTAATTTAAAATCAAGATTAAAGTTTCAAATCTTTATATTAACAAATATGTAACACTCCGATATACCAAAACAATAAGTCTTAAGCTTTATAAATTTTTGTGGGTGGGGTAGGATAAAGAATGGGAGATGATTGTCTCGTGCAAAAAAAAAAAAAAAAACTTTATAACTTTTTTTTTATAGAGTCAAAGCTTTATAAATTGATAAAGCATTTCTACTCCTAAGAGGAAAATTATCTGTCGTAGAAGCCCAACTCAAATGAACGGAAAAAAATAGATCTGGGTTCTGTTCTTTTGGGCCTAGATTTAGTGGGCTTAGTAGATCATTTGGATCAAAGATCAGAGCCAGATTGAATTCGAAATTTTATTTTTATTTTTCACATAATTCATTTTTCAAATAAATAATAAATAAATAAATAAATAAAAACACAGAAGTCCGTTACTGAGAGCGCGCCACCTCCTCCGTTGTCGTTCTGCCAGTGCGTAAAACGTCATCTTACTCCGGCCACCCCACCGCCTTGGAAATATCAACTTACCCTGAAGCATGGAAAAATACGAAGTCGTACGTCCCATCCCCCCCATCCTCCCCCTATCGATAAAATACCCCAACCCCTCTCTCTCTCTCTCCCCTGTAACTCCCACACAGTATCCAAAACCTAGGGTTTCTGTTCCGCACGGCAACCACAATCGTTCAAAGGTATTCTGAATCATTCTCTGTGCCCAAATTCCTTTCTTCTTTGTGTGT